CTCAACCTGTGGGTCGCGACCCCTTTGGGGGTCGAATGACCCTTTCACAGGGGTCGCCTAAGACCATCGGAAAACACAAATTTTCGATGGTCTTAGGATAGGGATCCCAAGTCTTGCCAAATCCTGCATATCAGATATTTACATTACGATTCATAACAGAAGCAAAATTACAGTTATGAAGTAGCAACGAAATAACGAAAAGGCTCGCGGCATTAGGAAGGTTGAGAACCACTGGCCTAGAGGATGGCTGAACAGCCTCTGAAGAGATACCATCTCAGCCAAACTTGTGGGACAGGTGACTTACCGCTGGGTTCACCTGGAACCAATTTGATTGACTCAGCCACAGGGAGCTCAGTAGCTTGGTAAATTGAGGTCCCAAGAGCCTGAGCCAAGTGGCTGTTGAAATCAGTGTAAACTCTACAGTTTTTAAAAAGGGATCTGGGATCTTTGTGTTCAGATCACTATCATAAAGGACTACTAGACTGGATTCAATTTCAGCTGTCTGTAGAACAAAATTTGAGCCTAGCAGCGTCTTGGAGCTCAGCAGCATTTTCCAGGGTATAAACCAGAGGTGGCCAAACTTGCTTCATGTAAGAACCACATAGACTAAATGCCAGATACTTGAGAGCCGCAAGGTGACTTCAGAGGGAGAGGTGGGTTTGGGGGAGTGGCCTGAAAGTGACATCACATGAATGGTTGGGTTTTGGCACAGGATCTGACGTCATTGGAAGGGGTGGGGCTTAGGGAGTGCCACCCCCTGACCTTTGACCTGGAAGTGACATCACAGGACATGACATCACTTTGTGAGGACATCCTTGTGAGGTGCCACCCCCAAAGCCCCCAGGTGGTAAAAACAGAAGTGGTAAAAGCAGATATTGCCAGGATATATTGTAATGCTTTGTGAAATGGCAGAGGTACCTCAGCCAGCATGGAGAAGCCATCTTCCAAGGCACTCTGCCTGCTATTCTTCTCACTAATGAACCCTTCCAAAGCTTCCAAGGGACTCCAAGATTTCCCAGGAGGAAGCAGAAATTGAAAGCTATTGCACAGTTTGTTACAATACTTTGTGCAATAAAAACAGGCTTAAAGAACACACACTCATTTCTCTTCCTGCTCCCTTCATACCACCAGGTTTCAAGTAGACTTAAGATACCCAGGACATACACACCACCCATGCACAGACTGTGCTGGACCCCTACCCGCCTGCAAAAGTGTACAATGCTGGAAAACAGATTATACCTTCACCCTCCTACAGGCACTGAAATCTCCTGCGCAGGCATGTTTTTCTTTGCTTACCTACACCTTAAGATACAAGCCCACAGCATCTCTTCTTGAAGAGAAAGGAGGTCTTCTGAGCTCTCTCACCCCCTTCACTCTCCCCAGAGGAATCCCATTTAGCATGACACCCTAAGGACGGTCTCCTGGGAGTAAGCCCCAATGACCGGACCTCCTTAGGATGGCGCTGTTAGATATTGCTACAAAGGACCCGCTGAAGACATTGTTAACCTGACCCCCTTTGAAGAGCAGTGATCATCCCAATTTGGTGGTACTTGAATGTACCAGCATTCTGTTGTTGCCCTGGCCTGGATAGCCCTGGATAGCTAGAGAGCCAGTCTGGTGTAGTGGTTAAGTGCGCGGACTCTAATCTGGGAGAACCGGGTTTGATTCCCCACCCCTCCATTTGCACCTGGCTCGATGACCTTGGGCAAGCTGTAGTTCTGATAAGAGCTGTCCTTGAAAAAGAGCAGTTTCTGTCAGAGTTCTCTCAGCCCCACCCACCTTACAGGGTGCCTGTTGTGGGGAGGGGAAGGGAAAGGAGTTTGTAAGCCGCTCTGAGACACCTTTGGGTAGTGACGGGCGGGGTATAAATCCAATCTCTTCTTCTTCTAGCCTGATCTTGACAGACTGTCTGAAGCTAAGCAGGGTCAGTCCTGGTTAGGACTTGGATGGGAGACCACCAAGGAAGCCCAGGGTTGTGACACAGGGGCAGGCAATGGCAAACCACCTCTGAATGTCTCTTGGCTTAAAAAAAACTCTACCACGTGAAGGCAGAAGGAGAAACCAATACTGTCTCTCTAACAAAAAAGTTTGAGTCCAGTGGCCCCTTTAAGACCAACAAAGTTTTATTCAAGGCGTGAGCTTGAAACCATACTGACCTTGATAGGCAAAGAAGGACAGAGAGAGAGGGAGAAGGGGGGGACAGAGGGGCTGGAGTGCAAACGTCCCTGCTAGCCCGCCACCCTCACCGGAGTCCCAGACTGGCTGCAGAGGCCACGGCCAGCCTGGGTGCCCTCCATCACCCCCTCAAACAGTCCCCACCAGCCTCACCGGAGCCCCAGGCTGGCTGCGGCCTCCCCCTGCTGCTGCCTCCCCCCACCCCCTGCAAACAGTCCCCACGAGCCCACCACCTTCATTGGAGTCCCAGGCTGGCTGTGGAGGCTGCAGCCGGCCTGGGTGCTCTCCGCCCCCCCGTAGTCTCTGCCACCCACACCCGGCCCAGAGCAGCCTGGGGGCCCCCTTACCTTACTGGCTCCCAGCAAGAAGAGGCAGCACATGCCGCGCCCCCCACCCCAGCTCGTCCAGGCCCAACTGAGGGCTGCTGGGAGCTCGGGACAGGGCTTAGCTGCCAGGAAGTAGGTCCTAGCTGCCCTCCCACCCACCAAAGTCTCATAAAGTGGGAGAGGGAAACCCTCCGCTTTCAGAGCGGTGGGGGGACACGGGGGTGGGCAAGCCTCGTGAGCGGCAAGAGTGGGCACCAAGAGCCGCATGTGGCTCGCAAGCCGCAGTTTGGCCACCCCTGGTCTAAACGGTCACGGGCCAAAATTCATTTCGTCAGATACTGAAAGCAACAGTTAGGTAGATTTCACACTAGTCTTGTTTGACTAGGACAGATCCAGATCAGTATGCACAGCTGAGACTATGCATGGGCCGCCAGGCGGTGCTTTGACTACAGGCTGATGCTAGAGCATCAATAAACGTTTTAAAATGACGCACAACAGAACACAGTGTGCATGTTAATACAATCTGTCACCAACAGAATATTGTGTGGCTTCTCTTGCCGAAGCAATTTCTTGAATCCATGATACTGTTTAATCTGGTGAATCATAAGGGTGCCGGAGAAGGAACAGGATCTGCTATATCAATTTCCCCCCCACATTTTCAGCCTCCAGGGTTCAAAATGTAGACTTCTATCGACAGTGTGTCAGATGAATACATGTCTTGTCAGATACCCACAGTTGTTTCTGTTTCACTGCAGGACATAACCATGGCATTTCCCTCAAAATGAACATGCTCTACAGTTTCTCTATGGGGTTGTTTTAGTACGTTCTAATGAAGGATTGTCTGTCTTCAAGCAGGCTTTAAAAGACATCTGCCAGGAAATTAATTATGGTACCCATTGAAGAGAAGGGTGGTATGCCCTACAGGATGTGTATGCAAAACCTATGTCTATTGCTTAGTCATCATAACTCCACTAGTTGGCTTTAGCCAAGTGATCCAGTTCTCCATCTGACAGGTATCTTATCTGCATTTAACTGTTTTGAAGATTATCAAGATGAAAATCTTGAAGATACTTTACCCATTAGCCAGATTTATTAGAATTATGAGGATGTCTCTTGCACCGTCAGAGGACGGTGGAAGACAAGAAGGCCTGGCGTGATCTGGTCCATGGGGTCGCGAAGAGTTGGACCCGACTGTGCGACTGAACAACAACAGCAACAACCCTTGCACCATTTATTCCCAGTAACTGTTATATTGATCAATTGTGGAGGAAAGGAACGTACTGAATTTTCCTCACCTGTTACAAAAGTCCTGATATCTATTTTTGCTGTTCCCTACATACTAGATATAAGTGCAGGATTGGATGAAAAAATCAAGGACACTACACTAGCATCCTCAAGAGAACCAAATGTTGTGAACCCCAATTCTTTCTTACCCCCATTTCCTAGGAACAGGGCCAAGTGCAGGCTTTGAATAGTTTGATAAGCTCGCGTAGTAGGGATGAGCACTAATCGTCACGGTTTCTCTAAGAACTCTATGCTTATACCTTGAGTACCACCATAAGACCATTGTTAAACCCTGACACAGATTCCAATAAAAGATTTTGGCAGAGAAAGCTTGGAAAGGTTAATGAATAAAGTCAGTATTAAATGTACGGATACGACAAAAAACCAAAAAAACGAGCTCAGCCGTTGGCCTTGGGAGGCCATTATGATAAGATTGATTCTTTTGTTTTTCTATAGAGATGGAAGTTACCCCCAAGGGTCATCTAGTCCAACCCCCAGTACAATGCAGGAAATTCACAGCTACCTCCCCCCACTCCCCCAGTGGTCCAGAGGCACAGAGCTTGAGCAAGTTAACCCAAGGAAAGGTTATTATAAATGGCCAAGGCATCCTGCTCATGGGATCATTTGTTGGCAACAGATCAAGAATCATTAACAGCTAAAATCGTATTAGTTCTTTTTTTAAAAAATCCTATCATACGTCTTCAGAGAACCTGCATCTTACAAAGCAACTTAACAGCTAAAATCGGATTCGTTCTTTTTTTTTTTTAATCCTATCATATTTCTTCAGAGAACCTGCATCTTACAAAGCAAAAAACATAACATTCCATAGAAGTTGTTAACCTTTACTGAAGGTCTTGATTGATATGCTCCATTCAAGGCAAAGTTTTGCCCAGCTCTTGCTATTCCTTTAGTTACACATACATGGTTGACGCTCAGTTAAAACTTCTGAAATGCACACCACACACACACACACACGGCTTACTTACATTTTGGTTGCCAGCGGTGAAGAGGGGAAAAGCTGTGTTGTATCTTGCATGCAAAAAATTCAGCCCAAATGGCTACTACCAAAAAGTAACACAAAGTAAAAATAAAAGCCAAAAGGGGAGAAAAAAAACCCAAAGCCAGATGTCAACCCCTGTCCTTAGAAAGGATGTTGCAAGGAGAGTGAGGATGAGAAGCAGGAGGCAGCAAATGGCTTCTGATGGCCTTACTCACTTTAACAGAGACTTTGTTGCCCAGAATATCCATGGGTTTACGTAGGCCATTGGCTTCTGTTTTGCCACTTTCCTTTTCCGCCCGCTTTCTCATGCGCAGAGTATGCCATGAACATGACTTCCTGTTGTACCAAAAAATGCACCAATCAAATGGCGTATCTTAGTAGGAAGAGGAAGGGGTGTGGAAAGGCAATCAGCACACTTGTTCTTGATACTTGCAGCTTTCCCCCCAGGAAGAGGAAGCCAATCGGTCTATCGAGGTACAAACATTAAAGTCAGAATTTCGATCTACTCTAGAACGGATGGCTTTTTACTCTTGCCATTTGAAAAAAGGAGTTTCTTTAAAGGATGACTGCAGGTCTGCAAGTGAAAGCATACAGCATGAAATATGAATAAAATCTGGAACATGCAAGCCATTAAGGGTAGGTGAAAAATATTTGTAGTTAAAGCAGTGAAAACAATGCAAAATTAGATAGGACACGTGCCAGTTTGACAGAGGAAAACCAGAGATTTACATATTCCACACTTCAAGGAGAGGTCTCAAAATAAATCAAAGGTTAAACAACAACTGTTTTATTAAGACTGAAATAAGTTGTCTCCTGGAAAGGCAAGTTTTGCTGTATCCCCTGGGCCAATGATCTTCTGTTGCTTCAAATTTGCCCATGTTTCATGAGCCCGGCCGTACAACTCTGCTAGCAAATCTAGCCTTTGGTCTAAAGAAGAAGAGGAGGACCATTCCATGGTCCCTTTATATGTGGAACAGGAAGAGGACGTATGCATAAAATGAAAGCGAGAAGCCACAGAACCAAATCAAAAATGTATTTAAGAACATTTAATCGTAACAGGGGTGCCTAGCATTTGTCTGGTATTCCATTTTACTTCATAGTGGAAACGCAGGTCTCTCTCCAGACTATGTATTTCTATGCAGACAGCTGAATGAGTCTTCAAAAAAAAAGAAGGGAGAATTGCTACAACTATGCTCAGGAATCCTGTACGTGGCCATTATTCTGCTTGCTGCATGTCCAGCGCTCAAACTCCATTTCTAGCTGTGGAACCCCTGGCACATGTTACAAGGGTATGACAACACCCCACATTACAACTGCTACAGGAAACTGATGCAAATTCAGTACATCTTGCGGCAAGCAGCACGCAGGGCTAAATAAGATGCTTTAAATGCCAAGGTACATGGGTCTGGGAGCCCTGGTCAGGACTCCTCCTCTTACAATGTTATTTCAGGAAACCCCTAGTGAACCCTGCAGCCATTATAATGGGCAGAGCTGCTCAGATGAGCACGCTTAATACACTGTAGTAGCAATGCTTAGAAAGTGTATTACCTAATTAGAACTTTACCTCTCACCTAAGAACATTTTGCTCCAGTACTGAAATGCCTTGTGCTTATTGTACCCTCGGTCATATTAGCTAAACCGCAGTATATTAAAATAAGCACATGCAACATCATGACTAAACTGATTTTAACTGAACTGCGCTCAGCAGCACTTTATGCACTACGAAGCTACACGGAGTTGCAAAAGTCACGTACACTATGTTTTGAAAGAAAAAAAAAGACATTGCTAATAAGTGAAACTTTTGGTGGCAGCATCTGAACTTGTACTTTGTCTGCAGGTCTCAAAAGAAAAAAGGTTGCTCCGACATAATATCCAGACAAGTATGAAGATACAAGAGAGGGTTAAGAGTAGGAATTCTCACTGTAGTTCCAGATAGGTAAGTGGTAATTTGGAAAATATAAAAGGCTTTGACTGTGCATAAACCCTAAAATTGCATGCCACCAGGGCTATCTTTGGGCAGGAACGCAGTGCTACGAAGCTACACAGAGTTGCAAAAGTCACGTACACTACGTTTTGCAAAAAAATAAAAATAAAAGGCATTGCTAATAGGTGAAACTTTTGGTGGCAGCATCTGAACTTTGGAGCAGGAGTCCCTCCAAAAAAAAAGCCCTGGGTTTTGTCAACAAACAAGGTAAAGAGAATAAGAAGCAAAAGGTGGGTGTGGCTGGGTGACCACACTTCTGGTAACATGGGGGTGTGGCCTAATAGGCGAATGAGCTGTGCTGTCAGGGGTGTGGCCTATTATGCTAATGAGTTCCTGCTGGGCTTTTTCTACAAAAAGAGCCCTGCATGCAACTATGCTTAAAAGTAGAGCGAACCCATTGACAGATTAAATGTTACAGCAGTAAATAGTGTACTGAGACATGCAAGTGCCCAAATTCATTTCAGTGACTAGTTTCAAATAAGAAAGAGAATGGAAAGGTTTTTACTTTTCCCCCTATTGGATTTAGGCATCCCTGCCTTGATGTCTGAAACAGCCCTCAGCATACAAGCGAATGAGTGATTGTCTCCTTGTCTCACCTTCTCTGGTGACCTTGTATAACCAAGGCTGTCCCTAATCAGATGGGAGCAACTCTCAGTAAGATCCCAGACTCTCAAAATGAAGCACGGGAGATCCATCAGTGCAACTTTTGTCGTTCCTGAATGTTTGCAGATACATATAAGACTCGAATGCCTAAAGCTTTGACACACCTCTTTGCAGCCCTCAATAACTGAATGCTGTCTCATCAGGCTGTGGATGGATTTGTCTGGGTGAGTTCCAACCCTGGATGGATTCTACTTTAAACTCTTGAGGACCATTGCATATATTTGCTAACGGAGGTAAAGAGATCTGGTAGTGAACTGCAGGCACAGACACTTGTTCTCTTTGATGCAAATCCATTGCAACTACCCTGACATGAACCAAGTTAATACTAAAGAGGTACTTTCTTAACCAGAGCTTGCAAAACTCACTTCAAAGCTAGGTCAACATTACAAATGGCTAGTACCTATACACATACGGAAACCACGGCTAAGGCTGACAGAGGGAGGGTGTGTGGAATTCATACTGAAGATGGGGGGGGGGGCCCACAGGAAATTTGAAACCTGTTTTTTCTCCCTTAAAAATGGATAAGGGATTAGCAGGTTTTGGTCTGCAATAAGCCTTATTAAGTTTGTTGCCTAGTCGGAAGCATTGTTCAATCATGGCCCCGGTCACACGGGCCAGAAAACACACGCGCGTGCGGGGGGGGGGAGGCGTGGCTCTTTGCGCCATCGCAATCTGAGGCACGATTAGGCGATCAGACTTGACGGTGCACACCGAGGCTTCCACCGTCAGCGCGCGCAGCAAAGAGGACGCCGGCGCGATCACACCACAGGAATCCGGACGCAGCCCGTGGCAAACCATTTGCTGGTAGGTCGATCCTGGTAGCTTTTAACTATGCGGCTCTGGCGGCTTGCCGTGGGTTGGCCATGGGAGTGCTACGCCTCCCAGACGTTCTGGTGAGATTGCACCCGGAAAATCCGCCGGAGTACCGTACCTTCAGCGGGGCAAATGCTCTGTGTGACCGGGGCCCTAGTTAGCACCTAATTGTCAGGACTTCACTCATCTACTTCTTCCTACAACAGGAACACAGATTGACAATTACATTTGTGGGGGAAAAAATCAACAGATATTACGGAAAAGGATTGTACCTTCTGTATTTAATATCAAAACATTCTTGCATTAGTTATTTCAAACTGACAAATTTCAAAAAAGGGGAAAGTATTCACATTCATTAAATAAGCAACAAAACATGGTAAGAAAAAGCAGAATCAAGGGGGGGGGGTCCAAAACTGGTCCTTTTTAACCTTGTTAAAACATGCTCATGGTGAAAATTTATTTTACATATTTAAAATAGTACATTTAAAATTAGTTACATTACAGGTACAATGATGAACATTGCGACTATCCATAATATTGCACAACCTGACTTCAAATATGGGATTCTTTAAATAGTGCAAAATACTTTACAGGAATGTATTCCAAAGGGGATTTCTCAAACCATTTTCTCTTTACAAAATATTACGAGAACAGAAGAAAAATTCAAAATAAAAATGTTACAAGATGTACAAGAAATTGCCATAGACAACATAAAAATCTCTCTTCCTTGAGAAGCAGGACTCAATCCAATACAAGGCCTGTTGTGTGGTTTTTTTGCTCTGTGCCATTATAAATCAATATATATATATATATGTATAAGCAAATTAAACACAAGATAAATAGAAATCCAGTCCAATCATGTCCATAATTAGGAAAGGATGGAGAAACATAAAACATGCCTTTTAAAAATTGTCTATGGATTTTAATTCTTTACAAACTATAGGGGAGGAAAAAACCAAAACAAAAAAAGAAGTCAACAAAAAAACCCAACTATCCCAACATGGATACCTCCACGCTGTGTATCAAGCAAGTTTGTTCCAATGGCACTGTAGATGTAAAAAAAGGAAAAAAGAAAAAGAAAGCAGAAAAATCCTACCATTTGGATTTTACTTTTCCTCAAAAATCCACATACTGGTCCCAGGGAATCCAACACAGAACTTACTTTATGCTTCCGTCGCTATTATCTGTGGTTGATTTAGTGAGGGGAGCCAAGATATTCCCTGGGATCCATCCTTCCGCTGCTGGTGAGTGGTCATTGGCAGGCTGATACACAAGGAACATATTCTGCTGGTTAATGGCAAGTACTTGGACCACCTCACCCTGGTTGACACAGATTTCATTCTCCTTCAGTGCATAGTAATCTTTGATGACCACCATGGAAGAGGTCCCATTGCACCCAACCGAGTCATTCTGGAAAGGAAACACAGAGGGCAACAATGAAAAAGTAGCACTGGAAAGTAGCACTCTTTGTGTACGATTTGTTAAGTGTGCCAAGTACAGGTGTGCACTTGGATTTTTGCAAACAGAAGTTAAACCTCGAATTCCCCCACAACATCCCAAAATGAAAACAACCAAAAATCTCTTTCCTGGAATTTTGGGAATGTTCCACCTGTTCTGGTGCCCTGGCCCCGCTAAATACCTTTTGTTTACAGTGGGTGGTTGACGTGGACACCAGGGTCAAATACCCAGTGGAATAACGGCCCTTAAAAGTTTAAAGGGTGTTTAAAGGAGCTGATGTGCTGTGGACCAGCTGCCCCACCCCTCCCAGGCAGCAGGCGCAGCAGCTCCACTGCCACATTCCTGAACCTGGAAAATATCCCCAAAATGGATTTCCAGAACAGTATCGGAGCTCATTTTTGAATTTTTTAATTGTTTTAGAAAACAAAGAGATGATATAAAGGAAATACAGGAAATACAGAAAAGAAAAAAGGATTACATAACATAACTATATATATCAAAAATGATTATATACAACAAAGTGTAAAAAAACAGATTTTTTTTCTTCCCCAACACCCCCTTTTGTTACATTGAAAAGTTTTTGGGACTTCTCTTGGCATACATTTATATTCAACATTTGACACTTCAGATTTCATAACTAATCTGTTTTGCAGCTAAATTATTAATTTCACCATTACGACATACTCAGTATTACATAGTTTCGTCAGTTCTGCATACTGACAGTCCCAGCACACTTAAAGCTTCAAGGTTACAAAAATCACGCCCTTCCCTTTATGAAAGTAAAACATTTTTGGGGAAGTGTATAACCTTTCTGTGAAGAGTTTTCCAATGTTTTCATAACACTCTTGTAAGGCAAGTCCGTACACTGTATTTAGAACACGTACATATTTAAAGTCATTCTCACCCATCATCCCATAACGCCGTTACCAACTTGAACTTTATCCTAAGATGTCATAGGTTCGTTTATCATTTCCTATGGAATACAGACAAGGTGCCAGATGTGTGAACACCTTCTCTGCCCCTTTTTCATACCTTGTGAACCTCTTTCACTGTCAGTAAGAGGAGAGGCACTAGTGCTAGCAGAATTAGGGTGTCCTGTTGGCTCTATAGGTGATGGCAAGTCTTTCTCATAGTACCCAAAAGATGAGAAACATGATGCATTAAGAGAGAAAGCTCTGTTGCCTGTGCTTACTGTTTAGTAAGCCACTCCATGGGTGCGGTCAGACGGCCTGCCGGGAGCGGTTTAAACTGCTCCGGTTCCAAGTGGACTAATTTGATCCAGGGCAAGTGCGGTCACACTCACCTCCCTCACCGCGCAACACATCGCTTCAGGGCGTCCACACTAGGCACACAGTAGCGTGTGTCAGCGGGTTTAATTTTTTTTTTTACATTTTGCGCATGCGGGTAGGCAGCCATCCACAGATTTGAGATCGCGCAGTAGCACGTGTTGGCAGGTTTTTGAATTTTTTTTTTACATTTTGCGCATGCGCGTAGGCAGCCATCCACAGATTTGAGATCTTTATGTAGGCACAAAACACCCTATCCTGAAAAGCATGCCCTGAAGGAACACTAGCGAATACCGCTGAGGCAAAAAAAAAAAAGCGGGCAAAAAACGGAAGCCTCAGGCTTCCCAGCGGAAGTGGCTAGACATCGGCGGAGAGCAATCAGATGGGGAAAATGCGGCTAGAACCGGAGCACTCAGGAAAACACCACTTGGGTACCTAGTGGCAAACTACAACGGTTTAAGGGGTGTTTGCGACGGTTGCCAACGGGTAGGGACGGAAGGCAGATGTTGTGCGTGTGATCGTGCGTAAGTACTCCGTTTCTAACTCGCTTCTATACCGGCTTCAATGCCCCGTCTGAACGCACCCCATTAGAAGCAGCTTGCAAGTGATACACAAGCTAGGGGAAAAAAATATTCTTAAGCTAATGTGAAGGAATCAGGAAAGGGCTTTTCCAAAAGGGAAGGAAGATGATTAGCCAACGCAAACGCATCAGGTCACATAATGGGTTTTGTATTAATGGGTTTTGTGTAGTTTGAGCACTTTAATGTTTGAGTGGGTTTTAAAATTGTATATTATGTTTTTAAATGTACTAAACTATTTTATGTTTTTATTAGCAAGTTTTTCTTGCCATGTAAGCCGCCCTGAGCCCTACGGGGGAGGGCGGGGTATAAATTTAATAATAAATAAAAAAAAATAAATAAATAAATAAATATTAAAAAGTGAAGCACTTGTATTTTATAGTTAGCAATATGGAAAGGATAATTCGGTAAAGGAAAAGAGTCATGGGGAGGTATCCTGCCTTAGAGAGGAGGATGTTCTGTGGAAGAGCTACTTAGGCTGGAGAACGACTTTATGCAATACTGTGCTTAGTATTTTTATTTTACTTATTTACAAAATTTATATCCTGCCTTTCTGCTCCCACAAGGGCCACCGAAGCAGCTGTCGTGGTTCAGCCAGGGCTCAGCGAGAGCAAGGACTTCTCGGGAGAAGAGGAGTCCCATGTAGCCAGCTCTGAGTCAGCAGAAGCTGGCAGGCAGGAAGATCAGTGCAGGCTCGTCAGGATTCACAGCCAACAGCTAATGCAGAGCCAGTGGCACCCTCCAGCCCTGGTTCAACAGGTGAAACTCAGTTGACCGTTTACAGCCCTCCAGTGTCACCCGCACCCTTAGAGTGCCGCAGACAGAGACTACGAACAGAACTACAGGAGAGATGGCAAGGTGTGCTCCTCCTGGCCCAATGCCAGCTGCCTGAATAGTTGCAGGATTACTCCCTTACCCTTAAGCATAGGGCTATAAACACCAACCAAGGGAGGCTGTTAAGTATGGAAGCAACAAGTCGAAATCTCTCTCAACACCAGCACCTTGAATTGTGCATTCTGTACCCACTGAAGTTTCCAAACGTTTTTCAAGGGAAGCCCCACCTGCACTGCATTGCAGTAATCCAATCAAGATAGAACCAGGGTGGCCAGATCTTTTCTGCCCAGGGTAGGCTGCAGCTGACTAACGAGTCAAAGCTGGTAATGGGTCACAGCTGGTAGGCAGAAAACAGGCCGCTGTCAAACGTTTTGCATTATTAATCCCATTCCTGAAAACGCTGGTACAATTTTCAAAACTGTACACATAATCTTGGAGGGAGGAATGAGAGATCCACTGACCTGCCTCTTTGGCCAATAAGGATAGACTGTAGCATTTATTTATTTATTTATCATATTTATATCCCGCCCTCCCTGCGGATGGTCTCAGGGCGGCTCACACATGCCGGCACAATATGGCCGGTTGGCATAAACATTTAAGACAGTTAAAACAATGATACAATAACATTTAAAGTGCTAGCAACAGTAATCCATCAATAAATTAAAATGGCGTACTATGAGATGATATACTAAAATCCCGACTTAGTGGTAGTCCGGTCTCCCGCAGTATTATGGCCTGATCTCCTAACAGGGCCGATCCATTACCACAGGTGTTAGTGCTGGTAATAGTTGGTGATAGTGGTAGGCCGCTCCTAATTGCAGGGTACAGGGGAAATGCAGCTTTCCTTCATGTTCAGTTTTACCAGAAACGAACACTGTAGGTGTCTGGCACTGCAAATGCCAGCAGGCCAGTGTGCGTTAAGGCAGACGAGCTGAGCCAGGTGGACAGATGTGGTCAACACACGCATCAAGTCACCCCGTTCACCTAACACCCCCCCCCATCTCGCACTCTGCAGAGAAATTTTGCCTAGCCGGATTCAGAGACCTGCCTTGTATACCACCAGGGCTATTTTTGGGCAGGAACGCACAGGAATGGCGTTCCGACTGGCTCCCAAGTTGGCCACGCCCAGCAGGAACTCATTAGCATAATAGGCCACACCCAACAGCAGAAACTCATTAGGATTGGCTACATTAGGGGTGTGTGGCCTAACATGCAAAGGAATTCATGCTATGAAAAAAGGCCCTGGGTTTGGACAACAAACAAGGTAAACAGAATAAGAAGCAAAAAGTGGGTGTGGCTGGATTGATTGGCTACATTAGGGGTGTGTGGCCTAACATGCAAAGGAGTTCCTGCAACAAAAAAGCCCTGGGTTTTGACAACAAACAAGGTAAACAGAATAACAAGCAAAAGGTGGGTGTGGCTGGATAACCACACTTCTGGAAACATGGGGGTGCGGTCTAATGTGCTAATGAGCTGTGCTGTCAGGGGTGTGGCCCAATATGCTAATGAGTTCCTGTTGTTGGGTGTGGCCTATTATGCTAATGAGTTCCTGCTGGGTTTTTTCT